TGAAATAATTATGTATAACAAGCATTTGGTGTCGCAGCTGTGGATGTTAACAGTCTGCCAAGACTCATCCAATCTCGTCTAATTAAATATTGTGTCCGCCAGCAAATATTTCCACGGTAACTTAAAACTGTCCCTGTGTTATTCGAAGCCAGTGTCATCCGATCTCCAGTGTCACCGAGTCTGATTCATGCACCGAAACAATTTTCTAGACGTTACCCTACGTTATAACCCTAACTTCCACACGGAAACCCCTTGAAAGCTTCGATAATTCCAGCAGAGGGAGTGTTCGATATGTGAAAGGTAATCTGCCGTCATTGTTAACATTGTAGTTCGAGTAGATGCTATGCAAGCATGCACCTGAAATGTAATTAAAAACGTGAGTACATGAGGTTGTCTCTATCAAGATATCCAGTACCACAGGCGACTATGTTATCAGATTATGAGATGAAATTACTTCAAAGAATTGTAAAATTACTAACAGTTAAATTATGATACTTCTTTTATTATCAGTTAAATGATATTTCATATCATTCATTTTCATATCATTGATATGTTCAATGATAATTTAAATATCGTCAGCTATCTTCATAGCTAGTAAAATACACTTATCGAGGATTTGTTGGAACTAATAGGTAAAGATTGATTTTGCAACAAATTGTGACAGAGGATATTTGTAGACTCCAAATGTACATTGTGCACATCAGAGAAGCTATTCCTACATCTTATCAGTAGTTGTAACTGGACCGGCTGCTAAGACACTGTGTACATAGATAATTCCCATTATCAATGTCTCCTCGGACTTCTGATAATACTCGACAACAAATATTCACCGATCCCCACATTCCAAAGGACTTGACATACAAGAAACTATCCTAGACTTTCCTACATTTCCGTCTCATTTTGACCCCAAAGAATAATTTCCTTCTAAATCGCAGTGAGCGGTCTAAAATTTTGAAAAATTTCGCAAATATAACGCTACAGTGTATCCATTATTTGTTTTTCGATTCATTCAGATATCTTACTTGGGAACCGAGAAAAATAGTTGTGAAGTTAGAGTTAGGAAGCTGAGATTTCCAAAGCAGTAATTATCACGTGACAAGATAAATGATATTTTTCGAACCATCTTAAGTGAGTAAAAATTTTCAAAAAATTAATCGAGTAGCCCCTAAGTACACCTACTACTTCCATTCTTGATTTATTCAAATACTTTACGCGCGTGGAGCAAGAGAAATACCCTTACAAAGATAGAGGTTTTCAATCACAGATAATAATGAAGAACAACAAGAGATTGCAAACATTTGCAAACTACATCTAAAAGCTATGATCACGTCGAATAAATTGCGCAACAATTCACAATCTAAATCCAGAACCCAAAAAACCTAACTAGACCAGTGAAATGTCCCTCTCGAAACGTGCAGGAAGCAACAGCAAAGCCACCGGTGATCGATTAAACGATCACCAAGCGCTCGTTACAAAATCGCGGACACTAATCGACTCGTCACCTAACTTTCGCTCTGTTTCGCAGACAGTGGAAGAAGACCGTGGTCACAGGCGAACAATCGCGTCGGAAGTTCAGTGGTCTGTGTCGCTGGGGCTAATAAGGGTGAAGAGGATCAACCGGCCGAAACAGTTTCCGGCGTGTTCGCCGCCGAGTGTCTTCGACGAATGTGCAGGCCGACCGCAATGTAACGATACCGTTAGCGATTTTTAACGCGGTTAGCACGCGAGTAGGTTTATCGAACGGAGCCGCACAATGCGCCGCAATCTTCTACTCGCTCCTCGGACCCGGCTCTACGCAGTTGTACATTTGATATCTCTCTTGAGCTGCGGGTACGAAGTGTGCTACGACAACCGGAGACCCTCGCCGAGAAAATAGTACGCGTGCAACAACTCACCGCAAGTATTAAGTTGAGTAATCAGTTTTGAGGACGCACGTGCAACCGAATCGGACGCATTGCTGCGAAACTTGCGGGTGAATGACACCCGAAACGATATCTGAAGCTCCGCAACACGCTCGATCATGAGGAACTATGAACTGAATCTAATACTACAACTAGCTGGCTATTCTAGACCCTAATGCTCGTGGTACCATGATTGATTCGAATAATCGAAGTCCTACTGTGTTAGTACCTTTGCATTTGTTCTAGGTTAACAATTCCCAGACGTTGATCACGGATAACGACCAAGTTAATCTAAGGCTTCAGCTAGATAGCTATTCTAGTATCCTAATCAGTGAGCAACTTTGAATGTGTTCTAGACTAGACATTTCTAGACATTGATCATAGGCAACAACGAATTAAATCTAATACTGCAGCTAGTTGCCTAATGCGTATGATGCCTTCATTAGTTAGAATCACAGAGATCCTACTGTGTTCACTTTGCACTCCTTTCTAATAGTATTAGTAGACTGTAGATCTTTATGCAATTTTTCATTTACACAGCTCAATATTTTTTAAATTAAATTAACAGTACAATTTGTTTCTCTGTGTTGAAATTTTAGCCTCGAACAAAAATTAATCTATAGTTTACTTAGTACTAAGATACTAAGATATCGGTTTACATTTTCGTCGGTTCCTTCAGCGGGCAACGACGGTGATGTAAACTGTATACAATAGATACGGCGATACATCATCACCGGTACCATTAGATACACATCGTGCCCTGACTGTTTGGGGATCCCAGCGTCACGTATACAATGTGAAACGCGACAAATAAATGTCTCTGATTGGTGGATAAGACGAACCCAAAAAGGGTATAAAAGAAGCGTTTTTTCTTACCGGACTCTCAGTAGAGTTTGGTCGCTCGATCGTTTTCGCCCATATACCTTCTCTCAATAAAGGAATAAAATAAAGTCTTTTTAAGAAAAGAATTGGAATCATATTCATTTT